GGGCATACTTCACGCGATTTCAGTCGCGACGCGATTTGGTAATTCGCCAGAAGTCTTCAGATCCGACCCTAGGCAAACTGCACAACCATAGTGTGTATAATTTACGTGGATTGATAAAATGTCCTATCTTCAGTTCATTTAAATTTTGCTTACACTGAGTTGTGGACAGCTGAAATTATGCCAAATCGCGTCGCGACTGAATTCGTGTGAAGTATGCCCGGCCCCTAATCATTTACATGGCACTGTCTTAAATCTCGCGCTTGATTTTCATTGGTGTTCAAAAAAATTTCAGGCATGGATATTTCTTTACAGAAAAATATTTTTACGAGAACAAAAGTGATTTTTCTGAAATCAGATCAAATTTCAGATTGCTTTCGAGCGACGAAGTCCTAGATAAAGCACCATGACCAATACCTATACACAAAAGCTGCCACCTATAATATTGAAGACACCCACACGAATGGAGGATCTGCTGACGCAAGAGAGAAGTGTAAGAAGTCGTTGTGTTTTTAGTGGGTGCTCGTTAAAAAAACCTTATGGATGGCAGAATCACTTGGTAACAGATGTAGGTAGATGCCAGCTGAGGTGGTGGGTGAGGATAGGGTGTGAGTCATCGTGAGATCAGGGATAGCTGCTGCTGGTGTGCGCCTGTTGCTAATTACTTGTCAATCATCGACAGCTACTAATCGATAATTGATTTTCCATGGTCCTTCTGTAGGTAGCTAGGGAAAAGACCTTAGATTGAAATGTAAGCATGGTTCGGCTAACTCAAAACTAGTAACTTTCTTTCAGGACAAAGACGGAGAATAACTCGATAATCCAAATAATTGATTGAAAATCGAATCGATATTTGATTTTTTATGGCTTTTCTGCAGGTGGATAGAAAAAATGGCATATGATAGCTGAAACCAAATATGTTACATTTTTTGAAAAGTAAATCAAAGTCGATAACTCTCTTACACAGTATATGTGAAGGTTGCTGATTATTTCGACTAATCAAACCACTGCTCCAAAATTCAATCAATAATCGATTTTTTGAAGCCCCTCTTAGCGAGAATCAAAGAAGGCATTAGTTTGCAGGAACGCAAACATCGTACGAGCTTAATAGTAATGAAATTGGTATTCTCTTAGTAATATCAAAGGTATAGAATCGTTTGATACGCATGTTATTGATTCAAAATTCAATCAATAATTGATTTTTTGGAATGTGTGCTGCAGTTTAGCAAATAAGCACCTTTTTATGTTAGTTGGTTTGAAAAAAAGAACATCAAACATGTAAGTTCGGAGAAATGCTCTCCAACAATTTGATTTTCACAAGAAGATTAAAATATGTTTTCTATGGAACTCACAAAAGGTAGAAAAATACGAGGAATGTTTATTGCTTTGAACTCGCTCCAGCTCTAAATGAATTTGCAAGGATTAGTTGATGATGGACTGCAAATTTTACAACTTAAGAGCACACACACCTTGAAATGAGCACCACAGCTGCTACTGAACTAGCACATTTTGCACAGATCTGCACTATTGATAGAGCAAAGTACAATGAATGACAGGAAGCCGACGCGAAATTACACAATTCACAACTGATCTGTGGATTTTATAGTTTTTCATGCACTTTTGCAAAACTCTCGCAATTAAAGAAATCACGGTGACAGCACAGCTGGTAGATAACATTTGCATAGATTAGATGGGTAGAGTAGCTCAAATTGACGCGGATGATACGGTAATTAGCCAAAACCTTCGGTCAGATAGTGGATACGGTAATTATCTGAAGCAGTAAAGCGAACAAAATTCATCTGTGTTGGTGCTAAGGCCAAGCTGTTGTCTGTCACACATACGGTGTGGTAATTTGATGGTGTCGACAATTGAATGGGTCCTCGAACGATGATACGGTAGCAATCGGGTGTAAATAATGATTTTATCACATGCTTAGCTTTTTTAGTAGAAAAGATTTTTTTGAATGCACTATGCGAGCTTCGAGAGCTTTGAGTTCTTGTCGTATCCCTCGAGTTAATTAACTGAATTGTGGCAAAAATATTTGTTTATTTTATTTATTGCTACAAAGCGTGACTCCTATGCGCCAATTCGGGCAACAAAAACAATAATGACCTTCTGTTGCTAAAGCGGTAGGATGCGCACCAAAAGCACGTGAGTGAAACTTTTCGATAGAGTAAAGCAAATCTACAAGATGATTATCAAACATCCGCATAGCTTTTGTTCCACGTAGAGTTGCAAGCTGAAAAGTAAGAAAATCGACAACCCCAAATTTCGAATCTCACTGCGAAAATCTTACAAACATCCCAATCGATCTAAGTATAACAGACACATACAAATTTTGACATATGCACTTGTTGTGATTATCTCGTCGCTAAAATATCAAAAAATAGTCAAAATACAGCCAGGGCTCGGCACAGGTGGCTTATAAGCAAGCTGGATATCGTTTTTGGGACCAAAAGCAAAGGGGGTTCGTTTTTGCGCGAGAAGGCACAAAATTTGCGACGTTTTTTTAGTCGACGTTCCGTTTTTGAGGGATTTTTAGGATGGTGTAGAGTCAAAGGGGACTTCGTAAAAATTCGCAAAAGTCAAGGGGACTTCGTTTTTTCCAATTCCATTTAGCCACCTCGTCGAGCCCTGAGTACAGCACTTTAATTCCTAGTCCCAGCTCCCACTAAGTTACATATCGCAATCTTTCTGAGATACAACTTCAAATGTATAAACTTGTAGCAACTTGTAGCTTCCTGGAAGATATGAAATCAAGATTCAAAAGCAAAAACAGAACCGTCCAATTTTTGTGACAGACGCCCATCAGCGGATAAAAGCTATTCCTTTTAATCTAAATTTTTCTATAATTATTCTGATGATTGGAAATTACAGCGATTCGGTTACGCTTTAACCATGATCTGATGAAAACCACTCGGATAGAGTTATAAATATTATGATTTTCATATGAAGCAGAGTCATCATATCTCAGACAGTCGACGGACTCCTCCGGCGCAGAAATGGCAGGGCCGCGGGGTTTCCCCGGCGGGGGGTCTGCCACTCGTGCGCCGGAGCCCCCCGATTTTGTGCGCCGGAGCCCCCCCCCCCCCCAATTTGTGCGCCGAAGGCCTCCCATTTTACGTGCCGGAGGCCTCCCATTTTCTGTCCCGGACTCCTCCGATTTTCTGTCCCGGACCCCTCCGATTTTCTGCTCCGCGGCTCTTCCAAATCTGGCGGACTCGCGGCGGGCAAATCTCTGCGCCGCGACTCCAGCAAATCTGGCGTACTTGCGGCGGAGAGATTTGCAAGCCCGCCGGAGGGGTCCGATCTGCCTTCCTTGTGACGTCACAAGAAGGGACCGCCCCCTCGCCCCGCTCTCATTGGTCAACTGGGTCTGCCGCGGCTCTGGCAGATTTCGACTGTCCGCCGGAGGGGTCCGATCGACTGTCTGAGATGATTCATCTCCTCGTCTTTTGACTGTGATCTACTCTTCTCAAAGACAGTAAAATCAAGTTTCCCACTTTTTAATCATCTTTTCTAGTTTGCAGCCCATGAAGACATCGCAAACTTACCAGTAAATTTTTTGATAATTATTTTTGAAGAATAAAGTATATGGCCTGCTCTGACGCTTACAGCGGCCCCTGCAGTAGCAACAACATCCACGGAGAACTGCTGAACCTTGCTCGTAACTGACACCACTTGTGCGAAAAAGTCTAACAGGGGAATGGTCAGAAGTCGAAGTGGCCAATCCAAACATGCTGTATACCATTCGATGCATCTTAGAAAGCTGATTTCGAATCTGTCTTCCGTATCTGCAGAGCGCCTTTGTAAGCGAAGTTATGACCAGCTTTAATGCGAAAAAATTGTACACAAAAATTGCGAAATTAGGCACATTATTGCCCTTTTTGCTCACCTTTAGGTACTGGTCATATGAAGTGACTTAGCTGCATATTTTGGTTTAGCACTGAGCCAGGAATGGCTCTGTACGGCCAAGTTTGCCCTTCAAACACACAATTTCTTAGCAAAATAATGGCTTTTAATGGCTTATAATTTCATCCACAAAAGTAGTCTGCAGGTAGGGAAGACAGATTTAAAATCAGCGTTTTTTGCTGCATCTAATGGTATGTAGCTTGTTTGAATTGGCCACTTCGATTTCTGACCATCCCCTTGTAAGCATTGAGTTTTACCCCCCAAATCCAAAAACGCGCAGGTTGTCAGTAGTGTAAGAACACTGAATTGACTTCGGATCTATCAGACTACACAGCAGAGTAGTGACACCAATGCCCTTATCCAAGTTCAAGCGTTACTGAAATTCAAAATTCAAAATCTAAGCTTAAATTGAATCCCTAAAAATTTATACTGCATGAGAAATATAAAATAGCTAGTAAAAAAAAGCACAATGGCAAAGACTTCGATCCCGGAAGTCATTGAGGTGCTATGTGATGACGGTAAAGGAGTCATTAACTACTTATGTACGTAAGCAAGTCATATAAATTATGGGGATACGACGTCTACTAAATTTCGGAACATATTTATGAGAAGCATGAGGAGGCAGTTGCTCCAGAGATTTTACACAAACAGTTGCCATCTGATATCTAAGTAATAATGCTGGTTGACAGATGGCTAAGCATTTGGCTTATGGGCTTAATAAGAAGTAGAAAATGGGAAAATTTTTTAGCAGAACAAACATAAACGTCTAAACTTCACTAGATGCGAGGGTCCTTTAAGTTCCTAGGTCTGTAGAGAGCAGCAAAAATAAAATGTGTTTGTTTCCCACTTTTGGAAATCGAGAAAAATTGAAGGCTATTTTTGATCAGCAGCAAATTAAGGTATTCTAAGTATTCTAAGTCATGGTAAAAACCGAAAATTACGAACTGTAGTGTTAAATAGTAGATCATAATAAGACAACGACTTTATCATCTACGAAAGGTAAGAATGAATGCGTTATAGACAGATCTAAAGAATATAAACTAATTCATGAATCAGAAAGAAATTCAAATATTCTGTAAAGTAAAACACACCTGGAATTGTGGCAGTTGTCGGACGAGCTTTCACTCGAAATATGTACTTCACTGGTGAAAATGTCCCAGCTGCTTGAGTGATCTCGGATTTTTTGAATAGTTCAGGCAGTTCCATACTGATTTAGTGGTCGAAGACGCGCAAGAACAGAATTGATATTGATGTTAGGTGATCAGACCTTCTACACATCAAGACGTTGTAGGAATGAGGCGAATGGGTACGAACAGTTGTCACCGCCGCTGGGAACATAAAGCTAGTCAGACGCCTAGAGAGAGAGCACATTAAGTAGGGATAAAGCAAATGGGTCATCTTCTGAGGTGATTCGAGTATGTTGGATGAATTCTCCTTTGCAGATGTGCTCGACTGACATACTTTGCACCATTGATTGAAATCAAAAGGGTAGAGTGAATACGACGGTTATGATGGAGAAAATGATTGAATTGAGGTTCAATTGAGAAACAACGCAAAATTTCCCAAGAACCTACCACTTTGATTTCGTGAAGACCCACAGGAGCATTACGTCTCCAAGCAAATCTGAGTACCTGGACCTTTTTCTATGGATACCGCTTGAGAGCCCTACTAGGCCATTTTCCGAACACACTTCATAATATTCATTTGTCGATGTGGTCGATGAATCTTGAACTTTTACCCAGTTGTACTATAGGACGATTATTGCTCCACGCAGAAAGAGTACTGTACTAAGAAGGAGTTTAGAGCTATTGTCGAGTTATTGTAACCTAGTACATATTGCATACCACGCGCGCTACTTCACGACATGTAGAATCAGAATTTATTGATTCCCTAAAGTTTCTTCTTGTTTTTTCTCTTTTGATTTCATCGAATATGTAATTAATAGGTAGCATTACACATTTCCATAGTCCATTTTGCTGAAGAAGCTTTTACCGACGAGTTACGAGTAAGGTGTCGTCACTACCAAGTATAGCGTTTAGGCTCACATTAAGTGAGCGTTACAGGACATTGAGAACGCACATACATACAGACAAGTAATGAGCTTGAGCCCCTGTTTCAGGCCCGCATAATTATCTTAGGGTACTATCTTTTAGGCTTAACTGACGGATGATTTCTTTAAATTGAATATGACAGTGAAGATGGTCAACATCCTCAACTTAGGCAGGCTCTACGCTCTTCAGAAGTACAGTACTATTCGACTGATATGCACCAAATACGGTGAAATTGGCGATTTTTGTCGCCGATATTGGCGGCGGGCGTGCTTGTAGGGCCTGCCTCAGGGACGTCATTTATACGGAGAATTGCTACAACAGAAGAGTAATGTTTAGTGGGCTTCTGCTGTAAAAGTAAGCAATTTCTTCTTGACGAGACGTACCATTGTGCCTTCGTATAATTGTAGAATAAAAAAAAAAGAAATTCTAGTAGGTTTTCGAGAAAATATCGTTTCTTTGCTTGCTATGGCACCGCGACTAGTAAAAGCCCAAAAACGCATGAGGGGTACTGTTGGATAGAGCAAAGTAAGCTCTACAAGAAGGCATCCAAATATTTGTTCCGAGTTTGTTCCACTAAAGTTTGGAGCCAAAATCTAAAAAAGATCTGAATGTATGTAAAAATCGAGAAAATTCGTATCTCCGTCTAAAAGAGCCCTACGAGCTTCTTACTTGTTTAGGCACACACTCTCTATATCTGGTGCTTACCTCTAAATTTACTTATTTTTCCATAGTTGGAATCCAAGAAACGTACACCAATATGGGCTAAAAGAGGCCAAAATAAGGTCTTTTCAATTTTTCGCCTGATCAATATTTCTTAAAGACCATCGCTTGTAAAAGGGAAAAACTCCTGGTTTTACTTCCAAAGCACATAGGAAAATTATTTTTTTCTACATTTCTACCTAGGAACAAAAACAGCAAATTCACAGATAAATGCCGCTAAATTCCACATGTAGAAAGCATGTGCCTGAGCAAATAAAAAACTTGTGGGATCTTTTTAGATTGGCATGCAATTTTTTCGATTTTTCATTCATTCAAATCCTTTTAGATTTTGGTTTCGAACTAAATTTGGAACAAATTCAGAGCAAATATTTGGGTATTCTCTTATAGAGCTTGCTCTGCTCTATCGAAAAGTACCCCTCATGCATTTTTGGGGTGCGACATTCGCGGTGCCATAGCAAGCAAATAAAAAACGACATTATTTTTGACAACCTAGGTCGTCCCGAAAATGTTTTCGCTTTCTACGTACTCTCTTCTTTAAACCTGGGCATAATGTATTGAATGTATAGTGTTGCTCTGCCAACCAGGTTTTGTGGTGGATCTTTATTCTTGACCTTACGTTTCGACAATTACCGTCTTCTTCGGAGGTCTGAAAGGGGATTGCGGTTATATTATCTGTTAGTCTATACGACCAAACGCCTCGTCAGGCTTCCGTCGTTTGAACCTTGTCGAGGTGCAACGTGCCAAGAAACAATCCAAAATGGATTCACCAACCTCTAGTCCACCATCGAGTCAGTAGTCCGCACGAATGTGACGGACATCACTGAGGTTGCTCAGTGAGTCTTGGACTTATATATTGTGCGGTTCAAGGTCACATAGTGACATAAGAGGCAAGAGATCGGCCGTTATTGTCACGCGTTCATTTTTGTTGTTCATTCCCGGATTTCCGGCGTGTATCCACGCGGCCTCTAGTAACTTTCGTGCCGAAATTTCTTGGCACGTTGCACCTCGACAAGGTTCAAACGACGGAAGCCTGACGAGGCGTTTGGTCGCATAGACTAACAGATAATATAACCGAAATCCCCTTTCAGACCTCCGAAGAAGACGGTAATTGTCGAAACGTAAGGTCGAGAATAAAGATCCACCACAAAACCTGGTTGGCAGAGCAACACTATACAATATTCGATACATCATGCCCAGGTTTAAAGAAGAGAGTACGTGGAAATTACTTACCGATATACCGCCGAAGTTCTACTCTGGTGCACGAAGCACTGTCACTTCGCCAACGGGTGGTTGCGGTCCGTCAGTCTCTTTTGTTCCTCCAGCGATGTAAGAAGGCGAATATGCTACCAAACTTCATTTCGAAGAAAAAACTAGGAAGCACCTGTTGTTTACGCGAAGATGATATACGTGTTAAGAAGATCTATCATTCTTTGTTGAGCCTAGCCATTAAAGAGAAACAACGTGTGTTGTATTCGACTTTATTGAAATGTACGTGTAAAGAAATGAGTTGTAAACGTCTTCTACCAGAAGATCAGTGGAGGAGGATTGACAGCGGATCGAGGCTGATTTGCAACTCTGTCCGATCTAAGGCTAAGTCAAGACTTCGCAGAAAGTTCAACCAACTCGCGGAAGCACTGCGTGAGAAACATGAAGATAATGTGAGTAACCATCCTCAGAACCACCACTCTACTGACATATCCGGTCCAAATGACGTTGATGCAAGAGTCACCGTTATTGGTAATATACAGTTATCAGCGCGCGCCGTCCATTTTCTTGATCTCGGTCCCTCTTTCTCACCTTCACAAAATGTTAGTACTATGATGTGCCGAAAAATATTGGGTAACTTGTATCACCTGCGAGATCTAATGCGATTCAAAGCTAGACGAGAAAGTACCCAGCAATTGTTGCCAACGGTGAGACAGTTATTACCGTCCATACCGTTTCCTCGGTCTTTTTATAAAGAGTCCGAGCCGGTGCCTACTATTGACACGAAATTCCGCATTTTTATCACTGGAATACTGCACGTTTTGAATAGATTCAAGCGAGTTCAACAAACTAACTTGACGAAGGAGCAGTGGCAAGGTTACAAAGAAGTGCGTGAATTAGTGAAAGAAAAGTCGATTCGAATCTCCATAAGTGACAAAGGCCATGAATTCGTAGTGATGCCACAATCGTTAGATCGAGAAATCGCAAAATTGCATCTTTCCGATACTACGATTTATCAACCCGCACTGAACGAGAGTATAAGGCGCAATGTAGAAAACTGAATAGTTCTTGGATGAAAGTGACAAAGTGTGCCGGTCTTGATAGAAACTTTATCAACAGATTGAAAGTGGATAACCCGAGGTGTCCAGTTTTCTACCATTTGATTAAGACACACAAGTTAGCGGCGAGCGAATTACAGTCGATGTCACCACAGTCGTATAAGATCCGCCCTATAATAAGCTGCATAAGTGGACCAACTAATCGAATACCCTGGTTTTCGAATAAGATTGTAAGCCAGCTTTTAGCCAAAGTGCCCGCCCATTTGTCCAACACTCAACATTTCGTACAGCAGCTACGGAGCATGAATTTTGAACCTGGTAGTGTTGTCGAGACCTTTGACGTAACGTCATTATACACTAACGTTCAAAACAACGACGCTCCACAAGCTCTGTCGGAGATGCTGGATGAATACCACTCCACCATGATAACCTTTGGCCTGAGCAAAGCGTGCATACTGCTCCTCATTAGGGAATGCTTAAATTGTAACATATTTAAGTGATCAGGGAAATACTATTCTCAGACTAGAGGGCTTGCGATGGGTCAAAGACTCGCCCCAGTTCTCGCGATCTGTTACATGAGCAAGATTGAGGAGCCAGTACTCGCACGATTGCCGTTAATGTATTGCCGCTACATCGACGACTGCTGCATCGTCACATCCACGCAGTCCGAGATGGATGAATGCTTTAGGATTTTGAGCAGTCGCAATACATTAAGCTTACACGAGAGACCCCGCGCAGTGGTTGGCTTTCCTTCTTGAACACCCAGATAAGTTTGTCTGACGGTGCTGTTCGAATCAAATGGTACCGAAAGGAAAGCTCCAAAAATATACTTGTCCACGCTACATCTGCGCATCCTACAGCTTTGAAACGTTCTATCATTCACAATATGTATAAGACTGCTGTAGAAGTGTGCACGGGCGAAGCCGAAACACTCGAGTCGCAACAACTGGCATCCAAAATTGCTCGCAGCAATGGCTACACTTCTGCGCAGTCTCGTCAGCGAACATCCAGACGACTCGCAATTCGTAATCCTATGCGAAGCAATAACAATGACAACAAGGTCCCCCTATGTATGCCATTTGTCTCCGACAGTTTCAGTAAGACAGTAAACCGATGTATAGTACGAGCACAGTTAGATAATGAGGTAATGCTGGTCAACATTCCTGGTAGTAACATCAGAAAGCGGTTGATCGGGAATAGATTGTATGACGTAGATTGTATATCAGAGGAATGCATCGTTTGCCCTTACGGGAAACTAGGAGATTGCGTGAAAGAAGGGACTGTTTATCAGTTGGAATGCCTGGACTGTGGCACGACGTATATAGGAGAGACGAGAAGAAGTTTAAGTGTTAGAATAAAAGAACACCTGGCTAACAAAAGACGAGGAAATCTGTCATCACCGTTAGGCAAACATAAAATCGAGGCACACGATGGGAGTGATTTTAATGTGAAGTGTACAATTCTAGAGCATGAGGTTGAAATTTCGGCACGAAAGTTACTAGAGGCCACGTGGATACACGCCGGAAATCCGGGAATGAACAACAAAAATGAACGCGTGACAATAACGGCCGATCTCTTGCCTCTTATGTCACTATGTGACCTTGAACCGCACAATATATAAGTCCAAGACTCACTGAGCAACCTCAGTGATGTCCGTCACATTCGTGCGGACTACTGACTCGATAGTGGACTAGAGGTTGGTGAATCCATTTTGGATTGTTTCTTGGCACGTTGCACCTCGACAAGGTTCAAACGACGGAAGCCTGACGAGGCGTTTGGTCGTATAGACTAACAGATAATATAACCGCAATCCCCTTTCAGACCTCCGAAGAAGACGGTAATTGTCGAAACGTAAGGTCAAGAATAAAGATCCACCACAAAACCTGGTTGGCAGAGCAACACTATACAATGTTTTCGCTTTTTTTGGCATGGGTGCCATAACTCGTAGAACAAACAGCCTACGAATTACTTGGCAGCATTCGATGCAGGTTTTCATGCTCTTTCAAATGATTGTCTTTATATTGCAAAGTTCATCAAACGAGCTTTCAAAAAAAAATTACCAAAAACTGCGATCCCTGGTTTTGCCAGGACAAGCTCCGCTATTTTTCTAAATTCTTATACTGATTCCCCGAAGGAGCCCAAATAACTTACGGATAGAGCGAACCTTAAAGCATACAAAATAATTCCTTTCTTTTTTCATAGCCTACGTTCCAGAATCTTCAAAGTTATCTTTTTGATGCTATCAACTTCCATATTTGGTCACCTTAAACCTCACGAAATCTTAACCGGCGAGCAACTCGGATAATATTCGATGCAGCACTTTCTCCTCTTCCGAACATGTTTTTTGTTCCTGATTCATAAAAAGCTGGAGGATAAAATCGACGAAATTCATGTTTTTGATGGCGCTCCAAGTTGAATCCCGAAAAGCCAAAATCTGATATTAGGTTGTCCGGGAATTAGTGCAGGTTTTGATTTCCTACCACAATAAGTCATACAGTTCTCATTTTTGAATAGGTTGTAGGGTAAAGCAAAGATAGAGCAAAGCAAGCTCTACAAGATGGCTATCTTGCTTTAGCAACAGCTCTAATCCACCACGAGTTTCGAGCCAAAAACTAAAAATATTCAACTGCCCGAAAAACTGAGAAAAATCGTAACTCAGTTCGTAAAATTCCTACAAAAGTTCTAACTTGATCACGTAAACACAATCCATATAAGGCATCTATATACGCCGTTGCCGTATTTTTTTCTCTGTTAGAAATCAAGAAAACGGGAATTTTTGTGCTTTTGCCAAAGTGGTGCTGTGCCGTTTCCACATAGGTAGTAGTATACTACAAACCTTTAGAAGTACAAACGTAAATTTCCAGCTCTCTACAAGCTTTAGTTCGCGAGAAATTTGAATTTTAGCTTGGACCACATGACTAGGGAAAACTGTATTCGATATTTCTCGAGAACTAAAGCTTGTAGAGAGCTGAAAATTTGAGTCTGTACCTCTACGGGCTTGTGACGTACAACTACCTATCTGGGAACGGCACAGCATCACTTTGGCAAATGCACGAAAATTTCCGTTTTCTTGATTCCTAACAGAGGAAGAAATACGGCAAAGACGTATATAGATGTTTTATGTGGATAGTGTTTACGTGAGCAAGTTAGAATTTTTGTAGGATTTTTACGAACTGAGTTACGATTTTTCTCAGTTTTTCGGGCAGTTGAATCTTTTTAGTTTTTGGCTCGAAACTCGTGGTGGATTAGAGCTGTTGCTAAAGCAAGACAGCCATCTTGTAGAGCTTGCTTTGCTCTATCTTTGCTTTACCCTACAACCTATTTAAAAATGAGGAGTGTATGACTTATCACGGTTGGAAATCAAAACCTGCATTAATTTCCGGACAACCTAATATTTCGATTCCTGGAACGATCATTTGTTATGACAAATTACTGAATCACAATTTACTTCTGAAAGTATCAAAATTCGTGAGTTTATCGGCTTTTGACAGTCTGCCGCTAATATGGTTCTGCTAAAATTCGATCGTGTTTTGAAAATTCTGTCAAAAAATTGCATCCTGTTTTGCAGAGGAGAACAAAATAATGTATCCTATAAAGTTTGCTCTAATCACAGGTTACTTGGACTCCTTCGAAGAACCAGTACAAAAATTCAAAAAATAGCGAAATTTGACCTTAGTAAAAACCATGAGTAGTGGTTTTTGGTAGTTTATTGAGAGCTCATTTGCTAAATTGCAGCAAAAACAATTATTTGAGAGAGCATGAAAAACTGCATCTAACGCTACCAAAAACCTCCATAAACGCTCGTTCAAAAAAAGCGAAAATACTTTTGGGACGACCTAATATAAAAGCTCACTCACAGAAGATTCTTTGACAGTCCTTGTGTTCAAGATATCTTCTTGATTATGATTCTCGAATAAAGTGTACTCCAGCTTGCACTTGGGACCTCCTCCAAATTTGCGGCACCACAGTATATCAGTATCATCTTGAATCAATAGAACTGATTGTGAGACAGATTAAAGTGCCGCGTATACTTCACGCGATTTCAGCTGCGACGCGATTTGGCAATTCGCCAGAGGTCTTCAGATCCAACACTAGCAAACTCCACATGCATAGTGTGTTAACTTACGTGGATCGATAAAATGTCTTATCTTCTGTACATTTGAAATGTGTTTACAGTGAGTTATGGACAGTTGGAATATTGCCAAATCGCGCCGCGACTAAAATCGTGTGAAATATGCCCGGCTCTTTACAAAAAGAAGGGTCAAAAAAGAATAGCACAACAAACACGACAAAGACGGAACCATCCTTTCATGATTATGAGAATGTTAATAAAGGTAGTACGAATGCTGACAGGTTTGAACAAACTATTTTTTTCATTTTAACATGTTAAAACAAGTGTTAATCTGTTAAACATGTGTGCATTTATCTTTCGCGAATCTCATCGGGCTTGGCATAAGTCGTCTTCCCACTACTGAAATTTCATCTGTCTAATTTTTGCAAGTTTCAAGTATTTGAAAATTATCCCAATTTTTCGTTCCCTCTACAAAGTGATATTCTATTTGCTGGTCTATCTATGTTTGCCAAATCGGTATATTTAAGGGAGCGACTTCGTTGAACTACTGCATAATCCGAAAGATTTCGTTGTTTTTCGTTGTTTGCTGTTGACAATATTTTTTGCCCGATAGCATTGCCCTTTATTATCTTTAGTCCCGAAAATCCAATTTATTCCCGACGCATAGTATATTTGTTTCAATGTATTAATTATACATTCGACAGTGTTGATAGAAGAGATATACATATGTTATAACGATCCGCAGATGCTATAAAAATAGACAGATCGATCAAACTTTTTCAACGTTTCATTTCTCAAACTTTATGGTTGCAAATCGTTTGCAACATGTTCTAAACCATAATTTCAGATCCTAAAATTGCCACAAATTTTAGGTATGAAAACCCTAATACTTCTTGCAATCTGCATAGCAACATCTGAAGCATGCTCATGTCTTCCTTATCCTTCTTTACAAGATTACATTTGCTCCTCCGACTTTGGTAAGTCATTGAATGAAGTCTTCTTCTCCCTTCTAGGATACCGCTACTAAGTATCCTCTTTCTTTCAAGTTTCTCGAGTGAAGGTCATCTCCAAGAAGGATCCTAATAATGGTTACTCAAATGGTTACCAGGACATCACCTATACCGTGAAGCACGTCAAAGTCTACAAGGTGAGGTAACATCCATCTTTAGGATCCACAGACATGGAATCACTCGAAAAAAAGGAATTGTTTACCACTAACAACCGAGCTACTTTGTTCCTTATAGAAACCGCCCAGTGTCAAGGAGTTGCCCAATCAAATTTTGACAGCTTCAAATTCCGCTGCTTGTGGAATTGAACTTACAATCGGAGAAGAATACCTGCTTGGTGGTAGGAGATTCCATACAACATTTACACTCATGTTAAAAGAAAGCTTTGATTTGAAGGTAGCGTTGATGAGCAAGGAAAACTTCGAAGCTACTTATGCGGCATATTCCAAAAATGGAGCAGTGTATCCAAGGATGATCGGAAGACTTTAAGACGCTACCAGTGCAGTTCGCCTACTACTGTTCCTTCTTATGGATGAGCGCTGTTACGAACTAAAGACATACAATTGAATAAAGTTGAGTACCGCTGAATCAAATTACCTTTCAGTTGAAGATTTATGCGGGCTGTACAATTTTTGCCTAATGATGATATTATTGGTTAAGTATTTATCTGGTCCTGAGTAAATCCGCTTTTACATTGGTTGCTTTAGAAGTCCATTTATTTTTATATGAATTACAGATAAGCTCGAAAATAAGCAAAAAACAATAGCATGGATGCCTCTGACGGAACCATTTCCTTGCTGTGATTCCTTGTAAGCAGTCGACCTTTCTTTTCAGACAATCACCGGAACTTCCGCAGGACAAACCAAATTTGCAGAAGTTCCGCAGGACTTTGTTCGCTATTTCAAAAATGAAAACGTTGAAAATCGGAAATTCCGTAGGATTTTCATGCCAAACTGGTTGAAAACCTGAACCTCCGCAGGATCTTCTTCAAAATCCTGTGGAAGTTCCGAAAAATGTCAGAGGTTCCGCAGCACTTTGGCCTGCCAGAACTTCCGCAGGACTTTGATGTGTTGTCTAATATGATGTTGCCCCGCCAGCAACTAGATTGCATTATCGAACATGTCAGTCGTAGTGCGGCGGATAGAAGGTGAGTCTAACAGTCAATGGAGTAAGGTTCAAATCTTGCTTCGGTGCTCTCTTTTGCTGTTGTAGTTTGCATTCTTCGGAACTTCTGTAGGACCTCATTTCGGAACTTCCGCAGGTGACCCGGCGGAAACTTTCGCAAGCCCTTTGCGGAAGTTTCAGTCATTTGTCTGACTTGAAAGGCGAGAGGTACTTTCCCGACATCCTATTCTACCCGAACCCTAAAGAATGAAAGCACCTGGGGCATGACTGACCAACTTAACCCAGAACGGATGCGAGGAGAGTTGAAAGCAGCGTCCGGGCAGATATGAATTGTAGCGTACAGAGGCTCCCGCACTGATAAAGCTCTTGCCCAAGTGGCATTGCACTATTTTGCTTCTGAAGCGAGAAAACGCTTCAGAAATGGCGACTGGAACCCCGCCTCATATTCCGGACAACGACATTTTTGACAACTGATGGATGTGCCGATGTCATAAGATATTCTGAAGCTACTTTTACTATACCATTTTATATGCGTGTCTCAGCCAGAAGTTTGATTTGAGCGTTTAAGTACGGAATCCAACCCCAACTGGCTGTTTACGTTAAACCGTATGTACTGCGACTGCTAGGCAGCGATCGGAAACACTCGACCATTTCGGAATGAGGACAAGTCACTATGCAGCAATCGTCCACGTAACGACATTAGATAAGCGGAAATCTTGATAGTACCGGTTTTTCGATCCTACTCATAAAGTATATCGCAAAAAAAAGGAGCAAGCCGTTGTCCCATTGCGAATCCCCTTTGTTGAGCGAAGTATGTGCCTGACCATCTGAAGAAGTTACAAGCCAGGCATTCTCTGATCAAGACCATGATTTGATGTTTGCTCAATACAAAGGTTCGAACGCTTGCACTAAACTCATCCATCATTTCGGAAACCGTTTGTAAAGCATTTTCATCTTGAGCGTTGTTATATAAAGACACAACATCGAATGATTCGGCTACACATCCATTTTCGAATCTGAGGGAATTTAAAGGCAAAGTCCAGGCAGAAAGTCGGTTTTCAGATTTTGTGCTTACCCAGGCCTATTCGCTATGCTGAATCCGAAAATCCATACTGGAGAGCGCGAAAACGGTGAAAAAGGACTCTGATGCAGAAGATAAATTAGCAAGTGAGCGGGGTCCTCCGCGCTGTGAATTCACGGTCCTGGCTCTAGGAGCGATTTTCTCAATTCCGCTAGCCGCCTAAACATCTCCACAGGTCAGGTGCGAATGCATGACTTGAAATCGGAACTGAGAAAATCGCTCCGGGCGCTGGGACCGTTAATTCTCAGTGAAGACCCCAACCACTTCTGATTTTCCTACTATGTTAGAGCCCTTTTCGCCGTTTTCGCACTCTCCAGTGTGGATTTTCAGATTCAGCATAGCGAATAGGCGCGGGTAAGCACAAAATCTTAAAATCGACTGTTTTTCTGGATACTGCCTTCAAGCGGTCGCGACCTTGTTCAGTGTTTGCTAAATAAAAAGGTATCCTGTCTATTAATGCCCTACAACTTTATTCAGAAACCAAGATATTCTGTCGGTTGGGGCTCCAACACAACTTTTGTGGTCTTATCTGAAATTGTCTGGCTGCAATCTGGCTGTCTGGAGGGATCGAGAATCACCGAACTTCATCTTAATGACAAGGGTGTGTACAGGCGCGTTTCCGAAAAGGATATCATTTGCAGTAAAAGCGGTTAAATCACGTTCGGATGAGAACAGAAGAGTCGACTGGCCTCAACGAGAGCTTCCTTGCCAGAAGTAAGTTACACACGCCAATATGCTCGGTTTTCTACAGCTTTGCAAAGAGTTTACAGAAAGTGACGACATTCGTTTGATGGCAAGAGTGCGTAGTTTGTCCACATAGCAGCTTTGGTGATTGCTCGAAAACAGGGGTAATATATCAGATAGAAGGTTTAGTATGTGGTGCTAGCTATATAGGAGGAACCTTAAAGGCAGTGTCTCACCAGATTTGGGAGTCCTGGCTCCGATAGTAACGTGATAGTAGAGCTCCTAACTAAGCGACGACAGAAGTTTGTAGCGCAAAAGGGGTTGTACGAAGCCTACAAATCGCCCCTCAAGTGGCCCGAATCTTACGGTAGGCTCGGACGAGTACAAGATGCATACAAGGTAAAGACGCAGAGTCGTTGCGGGACCCTGAGCTCATGACTGTGTGCGCTATGCGTACTCTGGTCTTGCAGTTCGAAATCGCTGTATGGGCATCGTCAGGGCCTACCGTAAGATTCGGGCCTTTCGGAGCGAATTTCAGGCTGGCTAGACCCCCTTTTTTGCTCCGAACTTTAGACATCGCTTCGGTAGGACACACACACACACACACACACACACACACACACACACACACACACACACACACACACACACACACACACACACACACACACACACACACACACACACACACACACACACACACACACACACACACACACACACACACACACACACACACACACACACACACACACACACACACACACACACACACACACACACACACACACACACACACACACACACACACACACACACACACACACACACACACACATTTCATATCATCCTCTAAACTAAATTCTTTTCTGAAAATGTCTTACTTCTCAGTTTGAGAATGTTTTCAGAGTAATTTTTCTTTATGAATGCTTCTGCGAAAGAAATAGAGGTTGCTCTGATGGATGACAAATTTCGGAAGTTGTGGATGATTGAAAAATTTGTAGCTCTTGCAAAAAAATGATTTCAAGTTAGAAATCTCACTGTCGAAATATGAATGTGAGTTTTTATGAGTTTATAGTCCAGAGTTCTTTTCGATCATCAATCATGTATTAATGAATGCTCGAAAAAAATTGAAGATATGAAAGTTTGCTCTTAAATCTGTTGTACTAATTTGATATTTTCGTGAGGTTCAATTTAGAGACTAAGAAAATGCTTGCTTTTTCTTTTCGAAAGTACATGTGGAAGTGCAAAAATGTTTTGTTATAACAACATTTTTGGCAACTTCAAATTGGTTTGAACATTACATAATCAATATCATGCCGGAGTTTGAGAAAAGAATTTTGAAGATTTGGTTTCATATGGGATGGTGTTGTTCTTAAGCGATAAATTTGGTCTGTTCTGATATAAGGTCTAATTTGAGTAGTATTATACAGTTGCAGCGGTGGAATTTGTCCAAAACTGCGGGATTGTCGGGATTCGCGGGATTATCGGGATTCGCGGGATTCGCGGGATTCGCGACTTCGCGGGATTCGCGGGATTTGCGGGATAAGCGGGATTTAGCTATAACTTCTTTTAGAATAGCTTTATTTGTAATCTGAGTGAAGATTTGGCTTCAGCTTGATGAGGCGAATCTTTTGATATACGGTATGTCCGTAGTTCATAGTGACGGGGTAGACATACAATGATACCTTGTTGTTTTCTACGTTAAGGCTTTTGTGAACATTTATCACAGTGTAAATCGCGTATAGGAGGTTCTGGTACGAAGCTCTCGTTATCGAAAACTATCGCGTTAAATTGGGCAGTTTTTATCTACCCTTATCGCTGATATAAGCATTTTATCATTTATCACTGATAATAAAACATTTTTGGATCATTTTTTGCATATGGTAAGGAAAGTACTGTAGAAAAAGCTGTGTGAATTTCTATCGCTCTTTCTCTCATTATAAGTGACTAGCGACCCTAAGGGCCACTTGCAAGTGGGTTGGGGCAATACAATTTAGCCGTATGATTGTCAACACAATTACACCCACGTTTTATAACTTTCAGTTGTGGGCAACACGAAACTGATTAATCAATGACTTGTGATTCTCCTCTAAATATAAGAATCCTCATTGTTGATAGTCGATATCTTTTGAGTCCCTTCTAAAAATTTTCTTTGGGCTAAATTTTTCCACCAACCTTCGCTGAGAGTCACCAAGCAGTCGATTCTCGGAACAACGATGTAGTCTACAATAACTCAGCTAAACTCAAAACATACTTTAGTTCCCGAAAAATTTCGGCAGCGAAAACAAGCATTGTTCTCATGCCCTGCGTGTCGCTTACAGACCACTCTTTTTTGAATGAACCCTGCTCCGCGTACCGCCTACAGAGCGACATACGTAAGAGCTGCCCTACGATTGCCCAGAACGGTATTTTGCCCAGAACGGTACATTCGAGTACAAATTTGCGAAAGAGGGGGGGGGGGATACTGTTAGCAACCTTACGAGAGTTTCGGCACCTCTCCACACTATAGCCTTTTTACACTTAGTAGACGCACCCTTTCGAAAACATTCCCTCGAAGAGGGATGATGCTTACCTCTTCGAAAACACGCTAGCCTTGTTGACGAATTTGTACCCTCCGCACCCTCGGCAATCACTCGCCTCATTCCGCAACTTGTCAACATGTAAG